TATTGTGAAATATTATTACAATTTAAAATAACTATTTTCTATTTCAAGATATTTAAAATGTAGTTTATGTGATGGCAAAGCTAATTAGGAATGCACCAAATTTTCCGGCAATTTTCGGCCGAAAGAGAAAAACGTCCGAAAAAATTATCCAAAAATATATGCTGTGCCGCACCACCCAGCAGTGTTCGGCACGCAGGTTTAACTCTCCCTTTAGCCGCTGTCACTGCGCGGTGTGACGCTCCGCTAAATATCCCGCTCTATGAATGTGCGTTCCGTCGCTCATGCTCACGGGAAAAGCAAAGTCCGCTCAAATAAACACTGACAGAAAATTTCTATGTAGAATACTTGTTACTGTCTGCTATAGCGCTACTGTGCTGTAACATGGCAACGCTGGTAAAATGACGCTACCCTCTCGTGACGCTACGCTCTGCTCACAAGCACTGATAATAACAGCTAGGACTATACATTATTTGGATAATTAGTCATAAAAATAATATCTGATTCGGTTGCATTGAATTGAATAAAAATAAAATATTGATATTTAATATTAATATATTTTCTGTACACTTGTGCGTTACTTTCAATAAAATTGTGGTTATTTTATTGGCTTGTGTTTTTTAAATTCAGCAATATTAAAATTGAGTTAAAATAAAAAGTCTTACAAAATGACTTTATTTTTTAATAAAATAAATAATTATTGAAAAGCATTTTCGGTTTCAGTTTTCGGCCAAGTGCATCCAGAATTTTTGGTTTTGGCCCAGAATTTTCATTTCAGTGCATCCCTAAAGCTTTCGAAAATGAAAAAATCTAGGAAATGGCTGTGATGCTTAATATTTTTTGTGGTATTTTTTCAGGACATTTGATTAATAGAAAGTTCACAAGAACAGCATTAATTTGAAATTCAACTTTTTCCAGTGACTTAGCTACATCACCACCTTATACATATGTATACTGCCCAACTACAGGCTGCTTTGGCCTGCCCAAAAGTACAGTTAAGTAAGATAGTTAAGTAAGTGACTAGGAGGCCCAAGGGTTTTTTTCTGTGAGGTAACGCACTGTATCAACCTCCAATACTGATGCCATAGTTATCATAGATATAATACTGTTTACAGCTGTTCATGAAGCCTTGGGAGCTGAAACCCAATTATGGTACGGGGCGTTACATTTCCAACACACACTTCAAGCAGCCGACTGGTCAAAACAGACTGCACAAGCTGATCATTCAGCGCAGACTGGGCTTTTTCAGAAAGGTGGGCTTTAAGGTGACAGGAACAAAGTGTTTCAGGCAGAGGGTGAAAAGAGGTGCTGCAGCAATATATAGGGTTGGGTACCGAAACCCGGTACCAATATGGCACCGGTACCTATGTAACCAGTATGTACTAGAACCGAATCAGAACGCAGATTTCGGTGCCATGCCCGAGCGATCTATTGAAATATTTGTCTTCTGGTCCTCCGAAACGGACGTAAGAAGCATCATCACCGGCACCGCACGTGA